TAAGAGGAGGATTATAGGTCACCGAACTCACGGATCAAAGGATTCTCAGATGCTTTCATAACTTAGTAATACAGCTTCTACCTGTTTTGGCCTGTTTGGTGAATCATCGGGATTCCTGTACAATTTTCACCTACAGAAAGAAACGTTGACTATCGAGGCATTGAGCAAGCATGAACGTAGCCATGAGACCATGGAAATTGCACAGATAATGGTTCACCTCTGACTGCGTTAATAAGACGGTAATTAGGAAATTGTTAGTTAAGATCATCGCTTTCTATTCGTTTTTTTCTAACATTGTTACTTGAAAAACGTCGCACTCTTTATGAATCACAATAAAACATGGTATCCTGAACCTAATTTAATTTCTCCATAAATGCATCAACTCTGCAGTCGATATTCTAACACTTAAAAAGTCAGTATTTGAGCAGATGGAGAATAGAACTCTGCTTGGACGGTAGTTTTCGAACGAATAGCGTAAGAGCCGGTTCGGTAAACAATCGGTGAAATAACGAGTTCGTATTGGACGGCTGGGTTAACTCTAGAAGATCTACCTTTATTTGCTTACGGTAGCCTATTTCCTATTGATAAAATTTCTAAAAATTTCTAGATACTTATAGAACGAGGCTCTTTTTAAAACGTTCCATCTAAATATCTGAATATATGTATTCTCTGTTACAAGGAACCGAATGCACAACGTTGATTCGAATATACATTTTTGTCCAATGAATAATTCTAGTTAAACCGGTTTACGTATTCGATTATTCAGTGGGTGAAAAAGCAATTAGCCGGAAGTGATGAGGAACGTGCATCATCGGGCGAAGCTAGCAGGTGCCGACGCGAACTATCTTTAATCATTCGTTCTCGAGTCGTATCCTAGAGTAAATGAGCCGGCATCGCTTCGTTACATCATACCGATTATATTAACGCCGTCGATTACAAGCTCGATTAATTTCGCCGGCATGAATCGAGGCGTGAGTCGAATCAACAGCCCCGACGAGGAGGGGCGTCGACGGTTTAGAAAAAACGTGCTGCATGATTTTACTGACAAAGAAGTTTTACGATTACGTCAACCTGTTAATTGACGTCTGTTCTCAAACTAGAACGATGTTCTAATAATCTGTGAGACAAGAATGGACCGAGACTGAGAGTATGGATCACTTCAATTTATTCCAAGAAACCCTTTAGGTCTCGATGGAAGTCAATGCCTCCTAATGTTTATAATTACTGCAG